CATAGTATAATTAATACCTTCTCCGCTTCGCATCGAAGCTAAAATCACAGGTACGTGTTTCGGGAACAATTTTATTATTATCAATGCTAAACACATACTCAAAATACATAATATTAGCCACGAGAGATCAATTTTTATTTTTCTAATTACATATATTTTTTATTGTGTAGTCATATTAAAAACCCATCTATCGTTTTGTATACATTAGTAAACAATGGTTAAAATTATTATTTCTTACCTATAATGTTTGAATTTATGCATTTTCTCAAATTGAATTTTATTTTACTTAAAAGTGTATATTGATGGTATTTTATTTATTATATAGGGTGTTAAATACTAAGTAAGGAAATATGTCAATTGTTATAAACAATTCGAACAATAAAAACCCATATCCTAACTTAGTAAACATTATATATTATATAGGTGTTCAGTGAGTAAGGAAACAGAATTCTTTTGTTCTCATTGTTTATAACAATTTACCTGTTTCTTTACTTACTGAAACTGTACATTAAGTATTTACTTAATTGTTTAATCCAAATATGATAACTTATATATTTATATTTTTTATATTATTCATTATTCTAGGTTTTTCTTACTGATATCAATGAATCCTCCTTTTCTTGATTTTAAATCTGGATTTTACTTTAGATTCATTTGTAAAATATTGATTTAATTATCAGATTTGCTATATTGTTGCATAGTTAATTATAGTTACTACATCTATATTTATATTATCTAATTTGCTGTTGTTCTTTTGTTCAATTTAAGCAATTAAAACATGAATTTTTATTTTCAATAATTTGTTGATAATTCAATAATAACAATAACTCAAGATGTATTGAGAAAAGTTAGATCATATATTATGAACATTTTTGTTAATGTATTGTAGAATATTCCTATAATATGACTTTCAACAAACAAATCAGCTATTAATTTTTGCTCATCTTTGTATGATTTTTAGGTAACTTAAACCAAATGCCAGCTGGTGCTGGAGGACAAGCTGGTTCAGACTTCAGTGCACAGTGGATACAGTATTATAGATCAATGGGTATGCACAGAGAAGCCGAATTTATTGAACAACAAGCTAAACAAATGAAGGTATTTATTATTTCATTAGAATTTATTCTAATAAAATTAAGGATCATTTATTTTGTAAGTTTATTATTTATGATTCGCATAAAAAAAATTGTCTACAATCAATTTTCCCTTGTACTCTTCTTTTGTATGTAAATAATATTTTATTATTTCTTTATAGTTCAATGGTCAAATGAATGGGGCAAATGGTGTTCCTCCTGGAAGTGTCCAACAGCAGCCACAACCTGGAGCTCTTCCACCTAATGGTGTCATGGCTGTTAATCCTGTTGTAGCAAATGGTGCTGGAGGCAGTGCTGCGGGAAGTGCTGGAACTCCAGACTATAGTGCACAGTGGATTGATTATTACCGTTCAATAGGTAAAGTTAAAGAAGCTGAAATGGTTGAGCAACAAGTTAAAGCAAGGGTAAGTGTCCTATTTTCACCAATCCATTTTTTTAATAAAAATATTAAGCATTAAAACTAAGAACCTTGTATGATCGAGTTTCGTGTACTAATTAATTGCTAGTTGGTGAGGTTGCCGCCTACATTTGCCGAGTATAAGATCTGCTTGATTCATTAATGAAAATTTCCATCCTTTTTGATAACTATCTAAACATCCCTGAGTTTTTAAGGTTTAGCAAACTCTTTGAAATAGGTTTAATTTAATAAGGCTTTTATAAAGTCTTAAAAGTAAAAATATGTATAGTAAATTTATTTCATATTCAAAAGTATTAAAATTTTTTAAATTTAGGTTTCTCCAAACATAGAGCCAAACAAAATGTTGGTTTTTAGAAAGACATATTAAAATTTTCAATCCTTTTATTATAAAATGTATCAATTTAAAATATTATATCCAATTGTATTTGTATTGTAAAACTATTACTTAAATAGTTTATTGTAAAATTTATATAATAATATACCAAGTTTTGTCATATCTTTTATACTTAATGATTAAGTTATTTTTAAATTTAAACCCAAAATTGTATAATGAAATTATGTATCGTTTTTCTTAAAAAAAATAAATATAACAAATAAAAGATAACCTAAAATAAATAAGATAACATTTTAAAGTAAATCAATAAAAAAAATAAAANATAACCTAAAATAAATAAGATAACATTTTAAAGTAAATCAATAAAAAAAATAAAATTCATTATTAAAAAGAAGTTAACAAATATCAAAATTTTATTCTTAAAATAAAATTTTTGTGTATTTATCTTATATAATCGTTTTTTTTTTCTTTTTAAGTTATTATGTTTGTACTGGTTGTCTTTAAAAGCCTGAGATAGTGCGAAAAATATTATTTTGAAACACCTTAGTGAATAATTAGGTAGGAAGAAAAGCTCTAAATAAATACTCAGGAATCATAAATAATTTTGACTATCCAAATAAGGGTAGTTTTTAGAACTATTTGATAATCTTCCATTTTATTTCTAGTTTATTTTTTTTAATGTTTAGTAATAGTTATTTTAAAACAATTATTGATATGGTCTATTATTTAATTAGCTCTTTGTCCAAAGAATGTCTCAATTAATATTTCATTTTTTTAAATTAATTTAGCAAATGGCTATGCAAAATCCAAGTAATGGTCAACCTAGTGGGTCTGATCAATCACCTCAACAACCCAACACCTCCAGCCCTCAATCTGGTCAACAACAGCCCATGGCTGATGTTTCAAATATGTATGGTACCCAATATGGAATGGCTTATGGTGCAGGTGGTTATTATGGAGGTCAGAATTCAGCAGCAGCCCCTAGTGGTTATGGGGCATATGCTTCGGGTGGTAATGCTTATGCAGGCTACCAACAAATGCCACAACAAGATCCACCTCAACAATAGTAAGGTAGGTAATTTATGGTGTAATGTGATATATTAAACAATGTGTAAAAAATATTTTTGAATCATTATTTGAATATTTTTTGTACTTGCTTTATTTTGTATAAAATATCCATGAATTTTTTTCTTAACATATCTTTCAGGATATGCATCCAAATATACTATTAAATGTATTATTGCAGAACTTCCAGATACCAAGGATATCTTCGTTTTGGTCAGGTCCATTCATTATATAACATAATATTATAACTTAGTTTGTCTTCTCCGCGCAATATATTCATATATATATTTTTTTTTATAATTAATATATTCAATTATGTTTACCTGTGTACAATACTTTAATTTAAAAAAAAAACATTTTGTAGTGAAAAAATGTGGTGAAGCATATTGTTGTCTAAGAATATTGATTACAGGCATTTATATATATATATGTATACATTATATATACATATAGTAAGTGAAACTGGAATGCTCCAATGTGGGCTATGATTATATTAAAATGATCATGTTTTATTTGATTATATGGTATTCTATAATATTCTTAAACGTGTTCATTACATATTTCTCTACACTCCTTATGAAATGCTATTATAAATTTTATTACTTTGTGAGTTATTTCAATTCAGAGTTTGAAATCATCAAACATTTCAAGTTTGGTTTTGTATAGCATAATTTCAATAATTAATATTATAATAGGTTAAATATATTACTAGACCATTTTTATTATAATATTGGCATTAAAGTCCTTTTAAAAAAAAATTAGTTAAGTATCATATGTTTTATGCTATAAATATAATTTACCAAGTTTTGTCATAATTTTTATATTTAATAATTAGGTTATTTTTGTTAAATTTGATTTTTCTTTTATTATAGATTAATAATGCTAGCACTTTAATTTGTAAAATAAAAATAAGAAAGAGATAATGGGAAGTAATAATTAAAAATACACTTTTTTTCTAATATTTATTTTAGAATCTACCAAGGTTCTTACACAAAACTTGGTAAAGAATGTTCAAACACCACTTTATAATTTTATTACCTTAAATATATATATTATAATGAAGCTAAATTGCATTTGTTTAACTACATAATAATTTATCTATAGAAACAATTCATTTATAAATAATAATATAACTAAAATTTTCTCATGTGTGACATGTTTGTTTGTTTAATTTATTTTTACCTTATTTACAGCAGTTACTCCGACCATAAACCAGGTTTGTACAAAACTAAAGGTTTATAAATTATACCAATGTCCAAAAACATCAATTTACTTCTTAATCCTAATTATATTTGTTAAGTGATTATCTTGTCTTGTCGAAAACATGTTTGATGTTATAAATTTCAGTGGGAAATGTCTGGTGTCTTGTGCTGGAGCCTGACATTGGGAAAGGTAACAATAGAGGTTTTTTTTTACTACTGTTTGAATTATTTTAAATTACTTACATGTATATACTTGCTGTTGATAAAAATTTAATTCTATATACTTCTTAAATTTGTTGATTGTGCTTGTCTTATTCAAATATTTTTACATATATTGATGATATATTTTTTTAAATTGTTTGTGTCATATCTCTTGCTTGTTTCAGATCACACGAATTTATTCATTATTTACTTTAATAAATTACATGTTGTGCAATTAACTATGTTGTATAACGTACATATTGTAATATTATTAAAGTGTTATAATAACTGATGAAACTTAATTCTTAATAAAACTTATAGACAAAATATTTTTATTATTTCTTATTAATTGTAAGGTGCGCATGTATTTATGAAAATTAAAAGCATTATAAATTTTATTTATCAAATATTACTATTGGACATTGGTATTAATATCAAAACTACTGGTGCTCAATTTCTATGAGTAATTGGACCTGTCATTTTTGTAATATTTTCAAATTTCTCTGAAACTATAAGTCAATCATCTTCTGGCAAAACCTTTGGCACAATTTCACATACAATAAATTATAAAACACTGGCTGGATAGTATTATCACAATATATATTACTAATATTTTTGGAATAGCTTATTTATTCCTACCCCTACTTAAATTTACGCCTTTGAATAAGTGTAACCTGTATACTTATTATTAAATCAGCTAGGACTAAAATGAGTGACACTAGATACTTTTTATTGTTGAAACATTCTTTACGTTGCTATATCTTACTTTTCATGAATGTTGTAATGTATCTTGAGTCCCCAAACGAGTTTTTGTTATGGGCCAAATACTCTAGTTTATATGGGATAAGAAAATTACCATATTCATAAAATTAGTTGCATTTTCTTGCTAATTAAACATTTTATTGAATTTAAATAAAAACAAACTGTGGAGTCACTTGAAGAATCAATATTTTGGGTTATTATTAACTAATTAAACAATAATTTTTATGTTCATTATTTTTTTAGAAAGTTATTATTTTAAATATTAATCTGAATTTAATCAGCACCTAAGTTGTTATCAGTCATTTAAGACCAATTAAATGCTATTAAAAAAACTATTTTTAATAACCGAAAATGTGATCTACAGTAAAATATTATTTTTTTCTTTAATCGTAGGCAAGTTATCATACAATCTTCAAAAATAATAATTGTTGGACGATTACTGTTAATCGTTCAAAAACTATTTTTAGAATAGTATTTTAGAAATACCAATGTTTATTATGTTATAATATTTAATAAAAATACCCATTAGTGATAATCTCAACTTAAATTATTGCAATTAATTAAGTTTTATTCACAAGTTCTTTTTTTTTAAGTAATATAATTTTAAACGAGTAATCTTATTTATTGGTATTAGGTTTACTTTTATACATTTACAATTTACTAAAGGCAAACAAGTCATTAAATTTATATTATGGTTGAACATACTAATTTATTTTTTAAAACGTTCATTGTCTTGAAAATATATGTGGTTATATAAGATATTTTATTTTTATTAAATAGCAAATCTGGTGATCGTGTAAGAAAATCTTCATAGTAAATATTGTTAATTTTTTAACGTATTTTGTGTAATGTTCTGATGTCATATCTATAAAATTGTATTTTTCGTTATGCTTTATGACTAAAGTAGATATTATTTTATCTAGATTTATTAGGTTTACTTATGTTCAGTTTAATGAGGACTCTTTAACATGATCTAAATATTTTCTTAATCTAGGTTAATATTAATTTCTACGATAATCATTATTTATATCAACGGCTAATGACAAGCAGTATGCAAATAAAACCGCAAAATGGTATATTAAGATTGAATCGTAGAGAGGATAGTTTTCAATTAAATATAATATGCTTAGATTGATGAAAAATGTCAAATATTTTTATTATAAATGAAATAAATTTTATTTTATTTTGCGTTCATGATCTCTGTGTACTTTTTTATCTATTAAATAAAAAATCAAGATTTCCAAAAATGTGTCAGTACAAAGTTTTGTATGCAAACGATTTACGGTGTATTTATATTGTTAATATGATATCGGTAATTCGTACTACTCTAGAAGAACGTACGTCATTGTATTAGTAACTACTTGAAAATTATTAAAGTTTAATAATCGTCTAGTATATTGTTTCGATATAACAACTCTAACTTGAATAATTGTAATATCATCACAAATAGTATAAAGTTTATACTCTGCTAAAGGCATAGCACATTATTGTAAAAATGACTGATTGATATGTAATTATCAGATGTGAAGCTTATTGTTTAATAATATTTTTTAAAGTGCTATTTGATGGAAGCTCGGAGAACTTTTAATCTACAAATTCAAACACTTAATATATCTAGGACTATGAAATAATAGTTTTTCTCCATATCTTTATTGGGGTACTTATATTCGACAACTTTTATATTTTTATGTGTTTGATATAAATTTACATTTTTAAGCAGCCGCGAATTCAGCTAGCGTTAATGGAGGAATGATTTAATTATGTATTTATATATAGCCAACAGCCTCCCTAAATCCACGCCTTATTTAAGTTATAGTTATCTGGTATCATTTCATATAATATTAATTTAAAACAGTCAACGAAACGTCTGTAGTAATAGCTTTAATAATACTATATGCATCGCAGTGTTAATGAACTACAACAAAGAAACGTGACTGTTAAACAAAAAAGCAGCATGTTTATAGGATGATCGGGCATTTACCCTAATGAATTTAAAGAGATATTTGAGAAAGTAATAATAAATTAGAATTATTATTGGACCCAACAATTTGTAGACTAGCGTTAAATCCCAAACCATTGATAAAAAATAAATAAAAATGTAATGAAGTTATTCTAGTTTTTATTTTTTGCTCATCACTAATTTTTTCCCATTTATTTATTAAATGAATAATTCTCTATTTTGATATTATTACACTCTTTATAATTTCAATTGAATTCTTTATTAATTTTATAAAAGGTTTTAAATCTAAAAATCTACTAGCTGTGTATTATGGTGTTATTAATAACTACATGTAGTTATATCTTGCAAGATGTATATAATCATATAATTGTTTACAGTCTCATTAAATTTTTTTTAATTGTGTGATGATATAATAGTTAAATAGATGTAGTAAATGTGTAATAATCTAACATCACATGGAAATCTTATAAGATATTTGGGTATCGTCATTTAATAGTCTAAAGTTTAGACTCTAAACCTATATAAGGATTTATCATTGTCGATATGTCAAAATACACAGTATGGTAGTGGAACCAATATCCATAAATTTAAAAGGAAAACTTGTTAATCAGTCGTCATTCCTCTGGAACATAAGCGCATCAAACATTTTACTTAAAATGATTTTTAAGTCTTTCAAATTTCAATTATACATAAAATTGAATAAGTAGCACCACTATGTTTTTACGTTACGCTAAACTAATTTAAATATTGTAGTATTGTCAATTTAACGGTGTTATTGCGTTTTTATTTAATTAATTAAGTTCATTATTATTATTATTATTTAATATTGGCTATTAAGAAAATACCTAAATAGGACCAGAACTAATGGTAGGACTTGCAGAGTGATCCACTAAAGTACTACCTAAAAACTGATGTAGAGAGAGAATAACGCAGGAAAATATGATGTAACCTAGTGATACCCAGACGATCAAAAAGGTTTATCAAGACTCCTGGCCTACAACTGAGGGATCTTAATTATAGGATTAGATATCAAATAAGCACTTTGACTGGACTACTGACGTCCTATCAGCAGTCTAGTCAAAGTCCTGCAAGTAACAGAATCACCACTGATGTGCAGGAAGCGTGGAACAGAAGAAGAAGATTCATTTCACATTATGTGTGAATGTGTACCCTGGTCACATTTAAAAAATCTTTTCCCGAAAAGAAGATATCAAGAACCCATAGAGATAATTTTGCTAGAGAGACAGGACTCTTTGAACATATATAGATGCGTAGAACGTCCTATTAATTAAAAGTATTCAACAACGCATCGGTGGGAACGCTTATATGAAGAAACCGAATTAATATAATTCGGTAGGAGAGGAGCACAATGGATCTATAGGTCTGAGTGCATGGGCAGTTCTTGCACACCCCTATAACA